GGGTTCAAACCCATCAGCCTGAGTGTATGTGGCTGGTGCCATAACCACTGTGCTACAGGCACCAAGCCAAGACTTTATAATTTTAACAGAGCTCACAAAGATATGTATTCAAGGAGTGGGGTACTTTCTATCATGTCAAAAAATTATGATTTTACTATAGCAGAGAGGCCTAAGAACATTCTGTTGAGCGCTTGAGTTTCAGCCTGTTTCTTTTGATTGATAAGTGATCTGAGACCGATCGTCTTGGGAATCACCCCCATAGGTATAATTCCTAAAATTTATGGTTGAGTGGAGAATCACCTGGTTGTAATGTCCCTTGACATCAGCAATCAGTAGGATTTTGTGTAAAACAAAAGTAACATTTCTTACTTGTATGCCACGTGTCAAGAGGGGATGTTGATTATCAAACTAATTCCAAGTTACTATCATTAATTATTCCCATTTTATAGATGAGGAAACTAGAAAACTGTGAAGGTAAGTGACTTGCCCCAGGGCACCGAGCTAGTAAATACCAGCCCTGGATTCTAATCCAGTCCATCTGACTCTCCACCATCAGCTCAAGACACCTGCCCTCTTGCAAAATTACAAATGATCCTTAGCTGTGGTCCAAGGGCTCATCGTGTACGTTGTTCCCTTCTTGGTCTTTCAGGAGATACGATATTCATTATTCTGAGGAAGCAGAAGCTGATCTTCCTGCACTGGTATCACCACATCACTGTGCTCCTGTACTCCTGGTACTCCTACAAAGACATGGTTGCCGGAGGAGGTTGGTTCATGACTATGAACTACAGCGTGCACGCCGTCATGTACTCCTACTACGCCTTGCGGGCTGCGGGGTTCCGAGTCTCCCGGAAGTTCGCCATGTTCATCACCTTGTCGCAGATCACGCAGATGCTGATGGGCTGTGTCATTAATTACCTGGTCTTCTCCTGGATGCAGCATGACCAGTGTCACTCTCACTTTCAGAACATCTTCTGGTCCTCGCTCATGTACCTCAGCTACCTTGTGCTCTTCTGCCATTTCTTCTTTGAGGCCTACATCGGCAAGATGAGGAAAACAGCGAAGGCTGAGTAGTGTCGGGACTGAGGAGGAAGCCATAGCTCAGGGTCATCAAGAAAAATAACAGACAAAAGAAAATGGCACAAGGAATCACATATGGTGCAGCTAAAACAAAACAAAACATAAGGAGCAAACACAAACCCAGGGCAGCTTAGGGATAACTAGGTTGACTGAACCCAGTAAGTTTATGACCCTTTTTGGGTGAGGACTCACTGTGTGCACCTCCATCTCAAAGCACCTGCTGGGAGACACACCCCCTTCTTTATCTGTCAACTCTATGACAAAGGACAGCAAGCAGGAGCCAGAGGCAGAGAGACACTAGTAGAAGGCAAGCAAAGGCTACTCTGATATGAAAAGACACCTTTACTAAGTGTTATATTTCTCTAAAGATGAAAGAATTTTACTTTAAAAACTGTGCGAGCACACACACACACACACACACACACAATCCTTTCTAATTTCTAATCAACACCAACCTGGAGCCAATAGAAAAGATGAAAAGGAAAGAGACACAGAGAGTAAGTGTATCTAGACGGATAATGCTTTTGTAGAAACTAAGGCCTTTTTAAGAAAGGTGAGTCATTGTAGCCCCATGAGAAAAGATGTCTTAATCATCTTAATCCTTTATAAAAACAGATGTAAACAATTATATTTCCACTTAAAAAAAAAAATGAGGACTATTCACTGCATAGCTTCGGTGAGTTGGTCAAAAGGAAAAGGGGCACAATACTTCCCCAAGGCTCTTCTGGGAGGATGGAAACAGGGCAGCCCAGGTCCCAAAGGGGCAGCTCCATCCCAGAGCATTTCTGATAGTTGAGCTAGGCTTTCTACTCTTAAACAAGACAGGAAGGAATATCCTTTCGTTCAATGGCCCCAGGCTTTTGAACGGAAGGGTAAATGCAGAATCGAAAAGATAAAAACACATCCAAATGATTGGAAAATGGATTCTGTACTATCTGAACAAAGACCCAGCCCAGTACTACCCCTGAGCTGGGAAAGGGAGAGAAACAGTGGAGAAAGAGGTGAGCCGCCCATCAAGTCCATAGCCAATGTACTAACCCCTCTCTATTTGACTTCATAAATACTCCTAATTTTCCAAATGAAACCCTGTGGGACAGTATATTTTCTATATTTTTGTGAATTTCAAAAAGAAATCTGCAGGGCTCTTCTTGATACTGGGTTAACACTGTGTTTCCGCATCATCTGCATTTGCTCCCCAAGCAATGTAGAGGTGTTTAAAGTGCCCTCTGCTGGCTGAGTGGAGATACTTCAACAAACACACTTCATGGCAAGTTTGGCTGAGAGTTGACAACAAAGGGCCCCGATAGACTTAACCCCCTCAAATTTTAAATGACGTAAAATACTTGTCATACTTTAGCCAAATCAGAAGATATCCATCCTGCTTCAAGTCAGCTTCAGAAATTCTTTAAAAGGGACTTAGCTCTGGAACTCAAAAATCAATTTATTAAGAGCCATATTCTTTTAAAAAACAAAAAGCTAGGTAATATCATCTGTAATATTTCAGTCCTTTATAAGCCAAATAAATGTGTCAATGTTCCTAGTATTTCAAAGAAGCAACTGTAAAGTTGTTCAATGTGACATAATAGTATTATAATTGGTTAAGTAGCTTAACAATTAGGTAAACTAGATGAAAGATTAGGGGCTATCACACTGCATAGATTATACACACCTAACCACACATCCATGCACACAAAAATGTGGGGGACACTGAACTTCAGATCCCAAATACATAGAAACATTTTCTGGCTAGCAGAAAAAGAAACTATTGTTTATCTTTCTTGCTTTATTTGAGAGTGTACAGTAAAAGGGATTTTTCAAATTATTTTTATATTGTTTTAGCTTTAATCGTGCTGTCATTCATGAAACAGAGCTGCTCTGCTTTTCTGTCAGAGATGGCAAGGGCTTTTTCAGTGTTTCGTTTATGTGTGGAATTTAAAAAGAATAAAGTTTTATTCCATTCTGTGTGAATGGTTTGAACCACGAACAAGCATCTGTGCAAACCACATCATGACTGGAGTAACTGGGAAGGGAGCCGTTACGTTTGTGTTACGTTATCGTGACTAGTCTAGGATGTCTCGACACAATTGGTAGAGGAATGTATTATTGTTGGGGGGAAACTGACCTGAGCTGAAATGATAGATCCTGCTAGAACAACCAGTAGGTTCTTAGGATACAAATAATGTTATTTTTGAGCTTTGCCAATAAGGAATACTGTGCAATAAGCCTTTTTTCCCTCATCACAAAAAATGAGCAGAATAATTAAAATGAGGAAAAGGCCACACAAATAAGTTAACTTGAGTTTAACTGAAGGACCCATTGGAGGCTCACCTGGTTGCTTAATTATTTAAGTCAGTAATTTATCATAGATCTCTTAATGCAGGTTAGAATTTTAAAAATGAGCAGAAACCTTAAAAAGACTCAACATGATGTTTCCAAAGCACTTTTCATCATGGTATTAGGTTTGTGTTTGTAAGATAATTTAGAATTTTTGTTTACAAGTTGAATGTTGAATAAGTAGCTTTTAAATTAGATAACTATATCTACAGCCATCCCCTGCGTTTATCATGGAAGGAAAAAAGCCACATATTTTGGGAAAAAAATTCTGGTATTACAGCTTTGGTACTGTTTTTAACATCCCAGCTGAGCTGCTTTAATTACATCAAGATATGAGGCTGGATCACTAGCCCATGACAAATCTGAAACCTACCAGAGAATTGACTGCCACAGAAATAATCTTGCTGTCAACTAACATTCCAGAGAAACTTGGACAGGCAAGTTTTTACAGCTGCCCCACTATGCTGCAATAGATTCTCTCTCTATTGAAGATTTTCCACTGCATTCCAGTCCCATTGTGGTGTAAACATCACTCTTAGATTGACAAAAAACCCAAATTCTTGATTTCATACAAATTCGATATCTCGCTCTGTATACACACACACACAAATGTTTACATGCACATATATATACACATACAACTTCATACACAAGATCTAAGCATCAACTTAAGTCCGTGAGTTTGCAATGAAATTCTAGTGAGAAATGCTCTCTAGTCATAGAGCAGGGGTGGGGTGTTTATCTGGACCTTCTATTTTTGCTTATGTGAAAGAAACAACTACTGATTTATTTATATCCAATGCCAGGCCAGAGTACCAAATTGAAATCATTGACTGAGGCTATTATTCCAGGTAATTTACTCCCATCTTTCTCATCATATTACACTACAAAAATAAGGGACAGGTGTGAATACATTACATGCATATGACTAGAGCAAAAGGAAAGGACTGATTGTGCCCTCCTTACGTGTGTACAGAGACTAATGTGTCTGAACTGAGTGGGGTTTTGCAGCATTGAATGGAAAGGCAGTAGGGACCCAGGAGGGCCCTTTAAAAAGACCAACAGGATTTTTTTTTCTTAAATAAGTATCTTTATAAGATAACACTTGTTACATCAGAGTATGACAGCCCCTGAAGTCAGCCACTGGAGTAGAATGTTCTAGAAGTCTAGCCATAGTCCCAGTTTGTTTGATTACCTGGAAGAGGCAACATGCTCAGGTTACTATCTGTTATTTATTCTGGAAGAACAGCCTCACCCAGAGACTAGTATGTGTCACACAGCAGTTAGTTAGACACACATTCTGAGGGTATTTTTCCCTGTTTGAGTAACAATGATTGGACAAAAACTATTTGAAGAAAGCTATTAGGAGAGTGCCGAAGAACAAATAGACTTTGCTTCCCAGACCTCAGAGTTTGCAGTTATGTGTTTATGGTCCATCTCTAAAATTTCTCTGAAGAAGTTTCCACCTAGAAACTGTCAGAGTTTTATGATGAAAGCCCAGAACTTTCTAGTGATCAAATGTAGTGTCTTTCCATTTTTTGTATTTAATAATAAATATTTTGCTGTCAGTGGGGTGATAGCAGAGCCCTATGTTTATGCTGGAAGTCCTGGTCACCTACAGCTTTTTAAAGTTGTTCTTTTGCCCCTTTATATACTCTTGATTCTTTGTGCCTCAGAACCATTGCCACCGGGAAGAAATTTAGCTCAGAATGCACCACAACCTTGGCCTGTAGCGCATACATATTGGAGGAAGAGCCCATGAAGCACCCTTCCCTGTTTTGTTCTGACAATCAGTATGAAGTGGTAGGTCCCTGTTTATCAGTGAGCCAACGGCCTTGGGACGCTGATGCCCAGAACTCCCGCAAAGCGAGTGTCAGTGCAGTCACAGCATTTTCTTGAACTTTGTTGGGTCATTCTCCAATTGCAAACATCTGTGGGCCATATGGCAGAATTCATAGCTGAAGAGGCCAGTTAAGTACACCTGTGCAGAGCATCGAAAAATTTTTACAAGCCTGTTGAATCACCAAGTTCCTTGCCTCATCCTCAGATCCCATGAAAATTCAGGGCTCACAAAAGAGGCAGGGCTTCCCGAGTTACACTTTAAAGAAAGTGACACAGAAGTTGCACTAGCGGTAAGACAGATGGTGGGAGCACATGCAGGAGTGGGCTGGGGAGGCCTCAAAAATGGCCCTTTGATTTGAGGTCAGGCAGGCAAAAGGTTGTGATCAGATTATCTTTCACGGGAAGCCCCAACCCACACCCGCACTGTGGGAAATGCCTCCTGAAGGAACCGGTTAAATTAAAGCGTGGTCCCGTAAGACAGGGTCAAGCCACATTTGCAACCCAGAATTAAAAAGTCCTGACTCGTGTTAATGTATTTAAATGATGTTATTTTCCCAATGTTTGGTGGCACTGGAGGCTTTTTCTCATAGTGGACAAAAATCCATATGGCTACAGAAGTCCTAATAGCATTCCTGGACGTGTTTGTTGTGAACAGGTCTGCCTGTCTAGGGTCGTGCAGGCAGGAGGTTGTTTGCTGCTACCTTGAAAACCACTGGAAGATTCTGCTTCTTAGGGACCCTAAAGCCGAAGTTCATACGGAAGCCCACCCATACACAGCTCACAGAGCAAATCACAGCAGTGTTGAAATTGTTACTTTCAAGTGCTTATTTCACAACATTAAAAATATTTTTCCTGGTGTATTAAAATTAAAAATAAAATCATAACTTTTATTTAAAATCAAAATGTGTTTCTGGTTTCTTTCATCTCTAATGCTGGACACTTTGGATTAGACATTTAGGCCACTACAGGCTTCTCAAGAATCTCAGACCATTGCCCACACTTGACATCCACCGATAGACTCGTGGAATGATGTGTTGTCAAAACTCTGCAGGTCTCTGGCAGCGGTGATTTAGTTCTCAAGTACTGTGAACTAAAGCTCCATAAGATGTCCTCAATAATCCCTTTCATGGGCATAACATTCTACAATGTATGTGTTTTCCCCATCTATTGGCTCACCAGAGTAGTCAGTGGGCCAGGCAATCTTAAATTGCATCACCATTTTACAGATGAGGAAAATGTGCTCCTTAGATCAGTATTGCAGAAGTAGAGGGAATGAGATTGGAACATAATCTTTTTTTTTTTTTGCAGTTTTTAGCCAGGGCTGGGTTGGAACCTACTACCTCCAGTGTATGGGGCCGGCACCCTACTCCTTTGAGCCACAGGCACCACCCTGGAACACAATCTTCAATTTGAGTTTTTTTTTTTTTTTTGAAACAGAGTCTCACTTTGTCACACTTCATAGAATGCCCTGATGTCATAGCTCACAGCAATCTCAAACTCTGGCTCAAGAGAGCATTTGCCTCAGTTTTTCATTTTTAGTAGCGGGGAGGGGGGGGATCTCACTCTTGCTCAGACTGGTCTGAAACTTGTGAGCTCAAGCGATCCACCTGCCTCAGCCTCCCAGAGTGCTAGGATTACAGGCATCAACCATGGCACCTGGCACATAATCTTCAATTTTATTGTAGCCATTCAGTCTTTTGAAAAGACCTACTGCATAAATGAATAAAATTCCAATACCCTGGACTGAATTTTGTCATATCACTGGACAAAGTGTTTGAGGGCAAGATACATTGTTGGGGAAATATTTAGTGAGCACAGCCCCTTCTCAGTAATGGCTCAGTGCTGTACTCACCCACCTGCAAGCTTAGCAGAGATGGTCCACATCATCAACTTCCTGGTCCTAATAATTTGTAATTTGGCCTTCAAATGCCAGTGTTACAGTATGTTCTGTTGCATTCTTCACAGCTTTCTAGAACACCAATACAATGTGTACAACAGTAATATCCCAACAGCATTTACATTTAAAGCCAAGAACTGGATACTTGTGGAGGTTTCCCACCAGGCAAACTCTGCCTCTTTTTCAATCTCAGAACATATTGGTAAGATGGGAATTTCTATTCCTTTTGCAATCTGTTTAATACTTTCTTAAAATGGAAGGAAACCCAGATTGCACACAAAGTATTTTTATTAATGTCTAAAGAAGGGCACAGGTAGAAAAATAAAACCTTAGGGAGTTGGATAGCAAGGACTCAAAACCTATACAAAGACTGTGCCGTCATGTAGCTACTGGGACGTCTCAAAAAATGGAAGCTTCAGAAATGAATAAAGCAAACATTAAAACATACAAACATTTGTATCACTGTCTGGCTAACAAAAGTACTATACCTAAGTAACTCCAAGACAAAGAAGCATAATATAGCAGGCTTCCTACGAAAGAAAAAAGAATGGGATCAGAATGTCAATATTTTTGTAACATGACCTCTCTTGGCTATTCGTTGGGCTTTTTTTAGAATGAGTGGAATTAGTTGAGTGTTCTAAATCAAAGGTCACAATGGGTGTCCTAAATCAATGGTCAGGACAGTTAAAGTAACTGAAAAACCCCACTGGTTGGTTTGTAGCTTATCAGCTCCAGGCTCCACAGGTCCTGGTCAGGGTCTCAGCTAGGACCAGACTCCTCTCCCTGAGCCCAACTTGGGGAGGCCCAGCTGAGCGCAGGGACTTCCATGATGTGTGTGTGTGTTGGGGGGGGGGAACTCCACTGTGTCCTCCAATCCCATGCAACTAGAGACACACACACAGAATTCCATACATGCCCTCTACCTCCCAGTCCGTGATGTCCCGTAACATTATATAACTAATCAAAGGACTCCACCCAAGAAAAGAGACGCTCTGGTTTGGGGAAGGATTGATTCTACTATTTAATTGTGATCTTGTTTTTATCACCTTTACGTATTTTATGTTCCTTTTATATTTTCTACTTTTCGTTACTCTTTGTCTATAATAAGAGATGAAGGAAAGAATCTATGGGATTTTGTACTTACTTATGCTTTGTGGAGTATATGTTTATTATGTGGGAAAGACGACACGGCAGCCTAAGGGTTAAACATGTATGACAGCCCTTCCTGACATACCGATTTGCCATCTCACTACTGAATCTGTAATCTTCGGCATTTTCGGCCCCCCAGGGTGAAAAACCTTCAGCTACACCCTGGGTTTCACACAGAGCTTCCTTCTCTATTGACTACACTAATTCCTTTCATGCTAGAGGGAAAATCTGTCCCCTGGGTGTTTCTCTGCTATGTTTTATTTATGAAAACTCCAGTGGGTGTTTCTTACGGCAGCTAATACCTTCTACGAAGAGAAGGTAAACAGTGTTCGCTATTTTGCATCCGCTGCTGCTCACAGTTACATCTGAGTTACTACAAAATACCAGTCTTTTTGCAAAGCAAGCACTTTGCCTCTGAATTAGAAGCGGTTCTAATTTCAACTTAGTTTTAGAGGAATAAAATCAATGGAACATAAATAAACCTACTGAGCTTTCAAATTGACTTGGGCCACCTTGCCAACTTGTTTCTTCATTTACATCTTACCTGAATTTCCCTAGGATCCACCAGCCTGCAGAGGCAATTTTTTTTTTCTTATTTGTAGCTTCCACTGATGTAGGACCCCTGACTTTTTAAGTCCCTTGCATCGAATTCTGGAAATTGCCCGGGGGAGACTTGTAGCCTCTATCAGGCGCTTCTGCTATGTGGTCACCCTGCCTCACTCCCTGCCATCCTCACCAGGCCCGGCTGCTGCTGCATCTCTCTATCTCTTGGACCCTGAAACCTCTCCTTTGGCATGGCTGGTTCTACAATTCTCAGCAGGCTGCCTCATCTGCCCTGTGTTGGGGCAACATGTGTCTTCCCCCCAGGCTGGCTGTTAGGTGTGAGGAAGCTGGACCCTTCTCTGCTCAGGAGCCAGACCTGCGTCCAGGGGCGGGAAGAGGTCCGGGAAGCAGCCTGCCTGCACCACAGGAGAATCTATTCCTTCCCTGCATGGGGCAGAGCTTTCCCGGGGTTGAGTTCCTAGGGCCAAGGATCATTTTCCTTCTGTGCGCATGCCCTCCCTGGAGCATCCTCAACCTCAATGCAAACAGACTCTGTGGCCACCACACCAGTTCCCCAGACCTGCCCAGACATGTGTGAGCTCCGCAGAGGTGACTTGTGTTTTCCTAGAAGCTCCAGCTCTCCTGCAGGCTCCGCATCACCTGCCCCTCCAGGTTCAGACAGCTCTGAGAGTCACTTACATTCAACCTGGCACCGTGCTGTATATGGAAACCTGCTTAAAACAAGTCCTTGCCTTTCCAGTGAAAATTGACTTTTTGAACTAAAAGAGCAAACTGCAGAAAGTCACAATAATTACTTAGATTTTCTCTGTTCCTGACTCATGGCCTGCACAAGAGCGCATTTCCCCTGTCTGGAAAGTGCAGATTAGGGCAGCCCTATTCCCTTCTCCTGCTCTGGGCATTGGCACTCCATGGAACCCAGTAAGCACACAGCTTCTGTGTCCTGTCAGTTCAGTGTCTATCTTCTTCAATAGATTACGACAAACTCTATGGGGCAGGAAGCAAGTTTGTCTGTTCTCCCCTGAAACTCCAGCACCTGGCAGCAGTCCTGGAGTAATTTGTGGAAAGATCAAATAAGTTTTAGTATATGGTTGCCACCTATGTGGTTAGGTGTCATTTGTGCTACAGTAGGTCTCTTCTTCCCCTTCACGTGTCTGTGGGGTGTGTGTGTTGGGAACGTCCTTGTGCTTTATCCACTGTGTGCTTTCAAACAGGTCAACAATGTTTTGAGCCATTGGATTATGAATATTTGCTCATTCCACTAGAAATTTTACAATCTTCTGTTATACTGTGATTGTAATTATCAAAAGGTCTTTTCTGAGACTTCGGAACATGCTCTGGAAGGTGATTGCCATCTGTTGGGGGTAGTTATTGACCCCTCTGTGCCTCAGTTTCTTCCTCTGCGCAAAGGGGATAAAGATGGTACATCCTGCATAGAGCTGTGATGAGGATTAATTTAGATGATACTTCTAAAGCCCTCAGCATGGCTTCCTTTTGAACAGAGTTCTTACAGTTCTGGTGGCTGGAAAGTTGAGGGGATCCCATCCGGCAAGGGCCTTCTCACTGTATCCCACGGAGGAAGGTGAAGAGAGCATGAGAGAGCAGAGGGATAGAGTGAGACAGGACTCAGCTTTTTATCAGGAACCCACTCCCTTGGTAACTAACACATTCCCTCAATAATTTAATTAATTCATTTATGAGGGCAGAGTCCTCATGGCCTAATCACCTCTTGAAGTTCCCACTTCCTGGCACGGCTGCCTTGGGATTCAGTTTCCAACTCATGAACTTTGTATTTCCCTAGGATCCAAACAACAGCAGCATAGAACACGAGACTACTTGCTCCTATTGTTAGCTGATGTCGCTACTGCTCTGTGGCTGTTTCTTACTTTCTCTTCTCTGGGAAGAGTCTGCACATGAGCCTCTGTATTCTTCACCATAACACTCCAGAAGTTTGTTTGCCTGTAGAATTTCTTTGCCTTATTGGTATAACACAAACTATAAACAAATACCTTTTCCAAGTGAATAGAAAATGAGATGTGAGACAAGAAAGCGTATCTCAGGCTGGGCGCAGTGATGCCTCACCCCTGTAATCCGAGCACTTCGGTAGGTCGAAGCAGGTAGATTGCTTGAGCTCAGGAGTTTGAGACCAGCCTGAGCCAGAGCAAGACCCCCACCCATCTCTAAGAAAAAAAACAAAAATACCGGGACGTTGTGGCGGGCACCTGTCGTTCCAGCTACTGGAGAGGCTGAGGCAAGAGGATCGCTTGAGTCCAGGAGTTTGATGTTGCCTTGAGTT